TAGGTTCCGGGAAGTGATTGTGCTACTAAGATACTCAAGCTTGGATTTAGACTTCTCCTAGACTTTTTGGTGTGTCCTCAAGTTTCAAGGACACACATTATGACACTTATATTCCTTATATTGTAATAGACTATTAGAATCCTTATGCACTTGTCATTTTGAGACAATTCTATTGTAAAGGGCTATGGTCCCTATTTGAGATTCTTATGTGTACTTAGATGGTTTCATGGAGATGATGTCTAGACATCCTACTTTCTATTTTCTATTATGAGACATTTTGACATTGATGTTGAAAAGTTTTAAATTTCCGCATTATTCAATGTTGACGAATATGCTAAGGGCTTGTATAAGACCCCTTTGGGGTCAAGTACATCGTGTTACGCCTAAGGGGTGCTCTCGGAGTGTGACAACCCTTTTTGGTGTGGGAGATACCTGATTCCGTGTTAATAGCTCACATGGTCTTATATGTCAGTTAAGGCTACTAGCCACAAGTAAGCTATAATGAACTAAGGCTACTTCAAGAAGTATCTCACATGTGTTTAAAATGACGTTTATTTGCATTGACCATGTTTTATGATTCATGTTTTAATCTCTTGTCTCACGTTTTAGCTTGGTTATTGCATCTCATGAAAATTTCTCTTTTTAAGCATGTTTTTAAATTCTTTATGCATGGCTATCATACTTGGTACATGTTTGTACTAATGCATACTTTTTCCTACATTTCCCCAAATGTAGGATCTGACCTTACTGATTTGCACTTTCGTGGCTAGGGATCTCATATAGAAGATTGAAGATTGGTAAGTCCTCATCAACTGAGGACCAAGCTTGATTTCCTTTTTTTTTCTTTACTTTCACTTTTTGAACTTGATGTACAGGCTACACCCTGATCAATCTTATGTAGTAGATGGCTTTGAGACGATGTTTCGTCTTCTGCTTTTCTCTATAAAACTTTGATATGTTGAAACTGTCGTTTAAATCTCTTATGTTCTATTATCTTGTATGATGAATGGCCAGTGGCTTGTATGAGGCTTCTCGGGGTCTTATACGTCATGTTACGCCTAGGGGCTATCTTGGATCGTGACAATAATTATCCATAGAAAAGCACAATTAAGTTACTAATCCAAGATAAAACATCATACAATAGCTCCTTAAATCTCGAATCATGCATCAGTGAGAAAACCTTTCATCAAACCCTGATCCCTTAATGTGAGAAAATCTTTCACAATTTATGCATAGGTGAGAAAATCCTTTAACAATTAATCGATACTTATCTTAAAGCAACCTAGATCATAAACAATTCTTTTTTTCATAGATCATGCATAAGTTCATGAAAACGTCATTTATTGATTCGTAGCTTTTCTTCAAATTCATGCAAATTAGTATTCATAGTCAAAAATCATTATCAATGCAGTGGTTTATATGAATTTGATTGGAAAGAAAGTAATTAAGTAAAAAAATTATTATATGATCAAAATTGAACAATTGAATCCATACAAAGAGAACCCAAGAGGAATTGAATGAAAACTTAACCAATTTTGTAAAATTGAATTGCAGAATTTGAGAATCTTTAGGAATCAATAGGTGAATGGAACCCATTGATGAACTCTCTACTTACATTGATCTTGAAGCCCTAAGTAATTGAGGAAGAATGGATAATTGAACTTAAAGAACCTCTAGGAGAGCAAACCCTTGAGAGGAAATTTTAGGATTTGGGGGAATGAAGGAGAATATGTAGATTTTAGGAGTAAAATCAGTAATAGAGTCATTTTTATAGGTAAAATGACATTGTATAGGAATTAGGTTCATAGGAAAAAACTCAAATACCCTTTAAAAATAACTATCGGGACCTAGTCTACGAAACCGACCTATGGTCTGTAGGAATTTCTACTGACCGTACTGGTCAGCCATAGACTAAAGTAATAGAACCTTAAAATCAACCAACTTTCGACAACACCTTTCTACGGCCCGTAGGACTTCCTATGGTCTGTATACCCGAATCGTAGAACTCAACTTTAACCCCAAAATTTCACGAAGTTTAGAACTTTTCTACGGGACCTTCCTACGATCAGTAGTCCATTCGATAGACCATCCTGGTCCATCATAGAATGAGATACTGGGATTTGATTTACAAAATTATTTATTCACATCCTTGGAGATTGGTTTATGATCAGTAGAACATTCTACAAACCATAGACTAGTCTCGTAGACTGAACTAGCATCCAATCTTTTGGCACTCTTTCCTTTTCTAAATTTCTGAGGTATTACAACTTAGTGGGCTAAAACAGGAACGGTTGGCCCAATTGCACTATCTAATAAAAAAGATATTTCGTACTGAGTGGAGTGAAAAAAAAACCAACGGAGGTCGTCTCAACGAAATGTTGGCAGAAGTCAACACTATAATCAAAACAACTAATTGTTCCAAAACCAAACCAATAACTACAAGACTCAAACCAAAGGTCCTACTACACAATAATTCAATGTTCTAGAGCTAATGACACTGACGAGAATTTCATTTGAGCCCATCAGCAAAAATATTGACCAAAGTCAACCCTTTCAACATAAGAGCTCAAAAAGAGGAAAACCATCCAAAACTGTCCCGATCACCTCGAAAAGCAGACGTCCACCCTGGCAAGTCACAAATACAACACAAAAGCTACGGGGAAGAGAAAAATAATAAAGAAATGCAAAAGCATGAAATGACCACGAGAGTCATAACATAAGTGATGTTCTTATTCTAAGTGAATGGAAAGCAATGTTAATAGACATTTGTCAAAAATTGAGTGACTATTTAGGGAATGGGAAAAAGTCAAATATATCCCGAACTATTAGAAATTGTATGTATACATCTTCCATTTATACTTCAAGTTTGCATATATGCTTGCATCATACTTTTGGGCCATATATATATACTAGTTTTTTGACACGTGTGTTGCACGTGATTACCAATTCAGAAAATATACGTTATAGTAAATAGTATTGCTTATTTTAGTGAAGATTTGAATAATAAGTTTAGCACAAAATACTATTGCAGATTTTTTTGTGAATGTACAATGTAGATCGTCATACGTGTCTCTTATTCACACGAACCTATGAAGATGGTCAATGAAAGATTTTATTAGTTAAATGCAACAATGTATATATTTGTTTCAATTTGTTGAGGTTCAATCATGTAATTTATCGTATCTCACTAATATTACCTTATAAATGATATTTGCTGTGTATTTTCTTGTCATCTAACCAGATTTGCTTTGCACGTGTATTCCACGTTAAACTATTTAGATGTCATATGAACATGTGAAGAGAACAACTACGATAGCAGAGAAAGGTTTCCTTTTTTTTTTACCAGAAAAATAAAAATAAAAATTAAAAGGGTATATTGTATCTGTGAAATCATATATATAATCAACTGTTCATCTTACACCCAACAAATATAAGTTCATATACTTTAAATGATTTTCAATTTATTCAACCTGATTCGGCAAAGGAAAAATAGTAAATAAGTAAAACAAAAGGTCTATTGTTCATATCGTAATACCTATTTTGAAGCAAACTTCCTGACAATCTAAATCACATAAGTAGCATTGATAAATAAAGTCATTCTTTTGTCTTGAGCATCAAAAAACCAAATCATGACAATTCTCTAAATTTTGTAAAACGATATTTAGAAGCATATATCTACATCACAAGATAAATTGTTAACAAAAACAAATAAATTTAGACTACATCATGTTAACTTCATATATTAGAGCATTACATACTAATTAATATATTAAGCAAAAAATTAATATTATATCATCAAAATTATTTTTATCAAGTACTCGAGGTTATGGAATATACCCTCTTAGGATAGACGATTTACTTCATCAGAATAGTGGTACCTCATATTCCGCTAAACTTCGAACTCACTCAACCATAACAAATACACAAAAAAATTTAAATGCAAGAAGAAGAAAAGTAGAAGATTAAAAAATAATGCGGTTGAAAAATGAGAGGAATCCCCTCTATTTATAGTCAACATAGGGTAGTACGAACAAGTGTTTTTTATGTGTCTTATCTAAAAAGTCATACCCTTTCCGAGAAGTCACAACCCTTTGGAAAATTCACAACTTATTAAAAAAGTCACAACTCATTGCAAAAGTCACAACTCATCAAAAAATCACAACCCTTTGAGAATAGTCAGAACTTATCGTAAAAGTCACAACTGATCGAAAAAGTTACAACTTATTGAAAAAGTCACAACTCTTTGAAAAGTTCACAACTCTTCGAAAAATCACAAACCTTTGAAAAAAGTCACAACTTATCGGAAAAGTCACAACTAATCGAAAAAGTCACAACTGATTGAAAAAGTCACAACTTAAGTTAGGGATATTATAGTAATTTAACATTCAAGTTAGGAGTTCATGCTTTTAAGGTAATATAGAATATAGATAGATATATACTTGACCCAAATGCTCAATAATTTACATAATTTACTTACCCATGACCGAATTTGAACACTCTTTCCTTTATTTGTACGTTAGCTAGTGCGGTCAGGAATATTGAGAATTTGAGGGCTGAACAACCTTATTGGCAAAATTGAACTTTCAACCTCTAAAGGCCAACGAAATGTCATATGGCCATGAAATCCTATCTCAGAACAACGAACCCAATGACATGTAATTCATTATAAAGACCTTCACTTGTGTATGTCAACAAAGCAAATTAGTAGGAAGCAGAATAAAATAACAAGATGGGTTAGTACAGTATTGAAGTGTTTGTGATATAAAAAGATAAAAGAATACAAAATTTCCCATGATATATAAATTAAATTCAGTTGTTACAAAACCCAATTCAAAAGATAATAAAAATATCTATTGCGATTAAGTAATGGAAATAATTAAAATTATGTTAAAATTAGTTATAGTGGGATAAATTGATATAGCATTTCTAATTGTGGAATATATTTGGCTTTGTATAAATATTGATTTCATTTTGTGCTGTTTATTATAGGACATAAATTAGTGTAGGTGTGAGGTACGCAGAGATACAGATAGGTAATGGGCACATTGAAAGCTGGTGAAATACTCAACTAACAGTATATGGCTCTCTTTGCTTCTTCTGTCTTCCCTCTTCCTCTGTTTAAGTCAAACTCAGATCCCTATCGTCTGTTCTCTACCAAGAAAGGGTTCAATTTGGGATTCCAGAAGCTTAAAACCAGAAGATTACACAGGACTAAAGTGGCGGTACATTTTGCAATGTTTTCAGAAAATCCACTCATCGGAGATTTAATCGCCACTGCATTTTCCGGTGGTATTGCCTTTTCCATGCTTCGATTGTGGGAAGAAACAGCCAAGAGAGGGGTTTTCGATCAGGTCTTTCATGCTTTTTATCTTTCTTTACTTTTAAGCCGAACTGAAATTTGTTTCTCTCAATCTTTACTATTTAGTTGTAAACGCACTAGTTTTCGAATATCTTTGTTTATGGTTAAATTCAAAATAGCATACCATTTAAACCACGACGAAGCAACAAAGACAACTTATTTTCTTTGATTTCTTGCTCACATCTTAGATGCTAGGTTTTTTTTAGGCATTATTCTCCTCTGATGTAATGATGCAAAGAGGTAAATTTCGAAAAAAAGTTTCAAGCTTTATATAAATGGTAAGTATGACTAAAGGAAAAATGGCAGAGGCAGTCAGCTGGTCCAAAACAGCTCCAAAAATACTGTCTCGCGTGTTCTAAGTTAAACTGTTAGAGCAATTTCGTGTGAGCTTATGTTGAATCTCTGCTTGGCTTGAGCACCTTTTTTGCTTTTCTGTTGTATTTCTATGAAAAACACTCTTAGTTGAATATTAATCTATCAAGTCCTTGATTAATATTGTTGTTTCTTGTGCGTTATTGAATTATTTGATTGTTGTTAACTCTTCCTTGTTTTCTTAATGTTATGTCATGTTTCGCCTATCATTTCATATGTCCTCCTTACTTTTATATTTTCCTTTTCAAACTGCTTTAATATGTGTTACTTGAGCCGAGGGTATTTCGGAAACAATCTCTCTACCTCCATGAGATAGGGGTAAGGTCTGCATACGTTCTATCCTCCCTGACCCCACTTGTGGGATTATAGCGGGTATGTTGTTGTTGAAGTCAGGGTCTTCCATTCCTCTTCAACTTTTGGCCTCTGGCATGAGAGTTCACCTATTGGACAAAGAAATTCAATGGTTTAATTTGTCATGCCAAGTTCCTCAAGTCTGCAAATGCGTGTGATTTTTCATGTTTCTCACAATTAATGTTGTAACTAGTGGGTGATAGAAGTTTGCTAAACAAAACTCTAGACCAGCATTTTAAATTGCTTATGATGCTAACTGGTGCTATCATTTTGTTCCCTTGACTTGTTTCAGCATCATAATGGTGTTCGACTTGGTGAGAGTATATCAATGTGTAACGCATGATGGAACTGACTTCATAACATGAATGGCCATCTTTGACAGAGTCAATTGTAACTCTGTTCTAACTTGAGGAAGCTTAGAATAGAAGTATTGGGTGCTAGGAACTGTCTGCTTATTTAAGTATCGGGGATTCATTGAATTGCAGTTAAGGTTCTGATAAATCCTAAATATGAATGCTAATCTCCATGTGCTAAGTTTAATAATGAAATGAATTTCTTCGATTTTTTTCTTATGGATGATGGTGGTGTTTGGGACAACTTGGGCACATCTCAGCTATTTCATTAGTACCTGTTATCTCCCACTTGCACTGGTGATTAATAACTCTGCCCACCAAGGTTCCAGCCAGTGGAATGAAATCACCTAGTGTTTTTTTGTCTCTACTATGTGAACCCTAGTTTTCAAGGCGTGCACTCACTTCATTGACCACTTGTCCACACCGTTGTGTGCAATAAGCTTTTCTGAATCTGATGTTGCAAAATATGCAAAATTTTCATTTGTGGTGTATATTGAGTACCAGATAAGAAAACAAAGGCAGGTTGTTACTCGATTGCAGGAATTCACAATGAATTCGAGGATCGAAGCACTGTTTCAGGATTTCTCGAGAAAACAGTTAGTAATGAAGAAGAAGAAGAAGAATAGAAAGAGAGAGATTAGAAAGAGAAAGAGAATTCTGTATATTCCATATATGAATGTAACTGATGATTACAATGTCTATTTATAAAGAACTTGACTGACTTATTCCATCTAACACAAATCAGTTACAACTAACATCTAACTAACTACCACTACACTGATTATTGTAGCTTAACAGTGTTTAACTAACTTTGTCAACTAACTTTTGAATTCCAAATTACTGTAACAGTACTCCCCCATACAAAAGATCCTTGTCCTCAAGGATCAAAGGATGGAAACCTTGTCTTCAAGATGGTAGCAAATTCCCAAGTGGCTACATCAGCGGGAAGACCAACCCATTTAACCAATAACTGAGCAACAACCTTGTTGCCCTTCTTGACCATTCTTCGATGTAAAACAGACTCCGGAGTAGGGCAATTTGGATTGGCTAGGTCAACAATCGGAGGATAAGAAACGTGGGAAGGCACTTCATAACACTTTTTTAACAACGAGACATGCACAGTTGGATGAATCTTGACAGAACTAGGTAACAAAAGAGTGTAGGCCACATGGCCAACCTTCTTAATGATCTGAAAGGGACCATAGTATTTAGCAGCAAGCTTAGGATAAGAGTGATGAGAGATAGTCGCTTGTTTGTACGGATGCACCCTAAAGTAGACCCAATCCCCTACAGCCAAATGCCTCTCACTTCTATGGGAATCTGCCTGTTGCTTCATTCGGAGTTGAGCTCTATGCAAATGATGCTTAAGGAGTTGCAACTTAAGTTCTCTGTTCACCAAGGTAGTGTCAACTTCGGCAGAAGCTGATTCACTAGGTAAGTAAGGGAGATGTAGAGGAGGCGGCCAGCCATATAAGACTTCATATGGTGTGGTTTGTATGGCTGAATGGAAGCAAGTATTATACCAATACTCAGCCATAGGCAAACAAGCCAACCAATTGGAAGCATCATCACTGTAGTAGCATCTTAAGTACGTTTCAAGGCATCTATTCAGCACTTCTGTTTGTCCATCAGACTGAGGATGATAAGCTGTAGATGTATGCAACAATACCCGTTGAAGAGTAAATAGCTCCTGCCAAAAAGAGCTCAGGAACACATCATCTCTATCACTGGTTATAGCATCAGGTAAGCCATGTAATTTCACAATAGTATCCAAAAACACCTGGGCAACTGATTGAGCAGTATAGGGATGTTTCAGTGGGAGGAAATTACCATATTTGCTGAGTTTGTCGACGACCACCAGAATCACCTCACAACCATGAGACTTGGGAAGACCATCAATGAAGTCCATACTAATTTGAGACCACACCACTTCAGGAATAGGTAATGGTTGTAACAACCCAGGGTAAGCAGCTAAATCAGATTTGTTCTTCTGACAAACATCACACCTTTGAATGAAATCCTTCACTTCTGTTCTCATGTTCTTCCAATAAAATAGTGTCAACAATCTCTTGAGGGTAGCTTCTACACCTGAATGACCTCCTAGAGGGCCAGCATGCCATAGGGACATAATGTCATTCCTTAAACTCTGCACCTTGCCAATCACTAGTTTTCCTTTCCTTCTTAATTGGCCTTGCAACCAAGTAAACTGCCTATGAGAGTCATGATTAACTTGTAAATCTACAATCAACTGTGTAAGCTCTGGGTCGGAGTGCCAACTATCCACAATAGCTTGAAAGAGATCAGTGTTGGTTGGGGAAATCACCAAAGCAAGTAACTCAGCCTCGGTACCTCTCGACAGTGCATCATCGACTTTGTTCTCAACTCCTTTTTTGTACTCAATAGAATAGTCAAATGGCATCAACTTTGTTAACCACAATAACTGTGAGTTTGTGTGCAACTTCTGTTCCATAAGGTACTTCAAAGCTCTTTGATCAGTCCTTATAATAAACCTCTGACCTAACAAGTACTGAGACCACTTAGTAACAGCTTGGATAATGGCCAATAACTCTCTATCATAAACTGACATAGCAGCATGGCTTGGAGATAATGCCTTGCTAATAAAGGCTATAGGATGTCCCTCTTGCATAAGAACAACACCAATTCCATAACCACTAGCATCAGTTTCAACAATGAAAGTTTTGTTGGCATCAGGTAGAGCTAATACAGGAGATTGAGTCAAAACTTCCTTTAATTGCAAAAATGCCTCCTGAGCTGTGTGGTGCCATTTGAATTTATCTTTCTTAGTTAGATTAGTAAGAGGTTTACAAATAACTCCAAATCCCTGTGTAAATCTTCTGTAATAACCAGCCAAACCTAAAAAACCCCTTAATTGCTTAAGAGTAGTTGGGGCAGGCCAATCCCTCACAGCTTGGATCTTTTGAGGATCGGTAGAAACACCTTTTGATGTGATAAAGTGACCAAGGTATTCAATTCTATGGACACCAAAGAAACATTTGCTTTTCTTGGCAAATAGTTGATGCTCCACCATTTTCAAAAAAACAGACCTCAGATGTAATATGTGTTCCTCCATAGTTCTACTATATATTAGTATCTCATCAAAAAACACCAAGACATGCTTCCTTAGAAAATTCTGGAACACAGTGTTCATCAAACCTTGAAATGTAGCTGGGCATTTGATAAACCAAAAGGCATGACTAAGTATTCAAAATGTCCCGAGTGTGTTCTAAAAGCAGTCTTAGGCACATCCTCCTTTGCCATTATTAGTTGATGGTATCCAGACCTTAAGTCTATTTTAGAAAATATTTTGGATCCTCCTAGTTCATCCAATAGATCTTCTACAATAGGGATTGGAAACTTGTTCTTTATAGTAAACTTATTCAAGTCTCTATAGTCTACACATAGTCTCCAGGTGCCATCCTTTTTGCCTACTAATACCACTGGTGATGCAAAAGGATTGCAACTAGGTTGAATGATCCCTTGATCCAACATTTGTTGTACAAGACCCTCAATAATATCCTTTTTCACTGAAGGATATCTATAAGGTCTCTTATTCACAGGTTCAGCTCCAGAATACAACACAATCCTATGATCAAATACACCTCTAAAAGGTGGTAAACCAACAGGTTCTTCAAATAATGCAAAAATTCTGACAATACCTCTAGTAGTGCAGGGTCTTCTTCAAGATCTTTATCAGCTGCTACTTCTAATGGATGCCACTTGTCTTCATCACTTCCCTGAGGAATTACTTGAATCATACAAAGCTGAGACTGATTTTTGAAGTGTTTGGTCAGTTTCCCAGCACTAGGAGTTAACACTTGATTGCCAGACCCTCTGAGTAAATGCTTCCTTCTCTTGTACCAAAACTCCATTGTTAAATTTCTGAAATTCAACTTGATATCACCCAACGTTAATAGCCATTGGACCCCAGCACAACTCCACAAGAACCTAAAGGTAATAATAGAAAATCAGCAGAAAACTCCGCTCCTTGTAGTAACCAAGTCACAGACGTCATCTTGTCCACCCACATGCTACCATTTGCTGCGGCTACCATCTCAGGTTTAATAGACTTCACTTCACACCCCAATTGCTTGACCAGGTCAGGATCAATGAAGTTATGAGAACTTCTTGTATCAATTAATATGTGTAATGCCATTTTTGAGTGATAACCAGTCATCTTCAAGGTTCTAAATCCCAAAGACCCATTTAACGCATGCATAGAAATTTCCATGTGTTCCACAGGTGGTCCCAACTCTAATTGTTCATTTTGTTCCTCTTGTAATTCTCCACCTTGTTCCTGCATTTAATCCTGCCCTTCTTCTAATTCTTCCACTTCCAACAAATACAACTGCTTGGAATTCTTACCCTTATGCCTAGGCATGTACTTTTCATTGCACAAGTAACATAACCCCTTTGCCCTTTTTTCATTCATCTCCTCTATGATCAAAGTTCTTCTATTTACTGCCTTAGAAAAACTAGAAGTATTTGTACCAGGTGTAGATAACAGAGGCTTATTGTTACTAATCCTTTGGTCCATGAATCTTTTTGCACCCATTTGAGACTGATTAGATATTGGCTGTCTCACAACCGTTAAGTATGCTTCTTGCATTCTTGCAGTCCTGTATACCTGTGATAAAGAAATCGGATTGGTGATCTTCACAGCAATGTTCAGCTTATGTTTTAACCCTCCAATAAAGCAACTGATTGCATTCTCTTGTGACAAATTCACCCTAATGAGATGTCTTTCAAACACTGATTGATATTCCTTAACACTCCCCACTTGTTTGATCTTCTTGATTTCCTCCATGGGATCATCAAAATTTGTTCCAAATCTCTCCACCATAGCCATCACATACTCATTCCAAGTAGCTGGTTGTAAATACTGTCTGTATCTCATGAAAGAAAGATGCCATTGGATGGCTTCTCCTTCCAGTTGCATTGCAGCTACTGTTACCTTTTCAGCTGCAGCTACATTCTCCATGGAGAAAAATTGTTCAATCTTGAACAACCACGATCTCAGATCTTCCCCTGCAAACCTGAGGAATTCCATTCGGGACCATCTTGAGAAGTTTGAATGATGGGTGTTGTAACTGGTAGGACTCTTGGGTCTGTGACTTCTCCCTTCATAGTGGTGAATTCTCTCATCAGAATGTTTTGCAGTCGAAGGACCATCTTCTATAGGAGTTTTATCCCTCCCAGATTCTCGATTAGTGACCAACTATTCCTTCAATTCCATGACCACCTGATCCAATCTCTTCAGGTTTGTAACTTCCCCTGCCAACGTTCCTATTTTTTCTGCCAAATTCTGCATCATTTCCTTCAATTCCCCCATTTATGTTGGAGAATTATCAGCAGATTTTGTTCCTTTCACCATTAAAATCCAAGGATAGAGTAGCTCTGATACCAATGTTACTCGATTGCAGGAATTCACAATGAATTCGAGGATCGAAGCACTGCTTCAGGATCTCTCGAGAAAACAGTTAGTAATGAAGAAGAAGAAGAAGAATAGAAAGAGAGAGATTAGAAAGAGAAAGAGAATTTTTTATTTTCCATATATGAATGTAACTGATGATTACAATGTCCATTTATAAAGAACTTGACTTATTCCATCTAACACAAATCAATTACAACTAACATCTAACTAACTACCACTACACTGATTATTGTAGCTTAACAGTGTTTAACTAACTTTGTCAACTAACTTTTGAATTCCAAATTACTGTAACACAGGCAGTGTTTATATTGGCAAACACTGCTAATCTTGAGTGCATTTACTGTTATATAGATGCCATATTATAAGGTGTGGACCATATTCATGTATTTTTCCTTACGTAATTCAGAAATTATACTGAAAATCGAGAAATTATTCCAAGGTTGTATGATTTTAGTATTGAGCTGTAATCTGTAATTACTATATACTTAAACAAGTAAGGTTTATCAAATCCATTGAAGAGGATGTTATAAGTTATAACTAAATTTATGACCTTAGCCCACCTTAAGCATATTGCTGGATTCGCTCATCTTTTGGAAGTGATATCCTTACCTTTTCTGCTTAATGATGTCCCGATATGGCCTTTGTACTGTATTTTCTGAATTCTACAATTTTTGTATTACCCAGAAAACGAACAGAAAGCTTGTTCATATTAGCATTGGGCTAGTCTTCATGCTCTGCTGGCCAATGTTCAGGTAATGCTTTTCAACCTAACCATGAAGCCTTTCATTCATTCAATTCCTAATATACCTGGTGAGTGAGGCGGTGTTTTGTTTTTCCAGTTCTGGTCAACAAGGAGCAATTCTAGCAGCTTTTATTCCCGGTCTTAACATAATAAAAATGCTTCTTTTGGGATTAGGAATATGGAAAGATGATGCAACTGTCAAGTCTATGAGCCGATTTGGAGACCACAGGTTTAGTAATCAGAAGAATATTTTTAGCTTTTACTTGAACAATTTCATTAAACCATCTCTTGTTATAGAACTTAACTATTACTGAAAATAGCGAGACGTCACAACCAAAAACTGGTTCCCTTGAGGAGGAGGTTGCAAACCATATTTATTTATGTGCATCCATATCTTCATTCCTCTAATGGTAAGTTGGCAACAGGCTATTTGTTAATTTTACTAAAGCTGCAATCTGTGCGTAATATGATGCTGCCAACATCTGTGAACACTTGAACATGATAACACTATTTATTCTTATAAGTCCTACTATTTCTCCTATATCATAACAAAATGATGCGGGAGAAAAGTTTCTGAAAACAGGCAGCTGTGCCAAAATTGGTAAAGCATAATTGCCGGGCCAACCCCAATCCTTTTTTTGTAGTCCTAATTAAGCTAAGGATTACTTCTTATTGTCCTTCAATGACCTCTTATTCTTTGTTAAGCAATTTAATTGGCAACTTACATTGTGTTTGGCATGCCTCTTACATTAGGGAGCTTCTCAAGGGACCATTGTACTATGCCTTTTCAATCACTTATGCTTGTGCTATATATTGGAGATATTCTCCTATTTCAATTGGACTAATTTGCAACCTTTGTGCTGGTGATGGTATGCTATGCTGAGGCAATTTAATTTCTGTCTGTCATGGTTACTTGACCTCCCTGATTGACTGACGATGTTCTAAGAAATAGTAAAAGTTACTGTTTTCGTGCTCCAGGTATTGCTGACATTGTTGGCAGGAGGTTCGGAAAACAGAAACTCCCATACAATAAAAACAAATCATTTGCTGGTAGTATTGCAATGGCAGCTGCTGGTTTCTTAGCATCCCTTGGGTAATTGAAAGCTTTCATTGTTATCATGTTTTGCTTAAATACTGCATATTTCTTACTGGTCTCTATGGTTTTGCTACAGATTCTTGCTCTATTTCTCCTTGTTGGGGTATATTCAGGTGAGCTCCAAGACGGTCTTAGGGTTCTTGTTTATGTCTCTTGCTGCAGCACTGGTTGAATCCCATCCTCTAAGCAGTGAACTCGATGACAACTTAACAGTTCCCTTAACCTCAGTGCTGGTAGGCAGTCTTGTTTTATGATATCAGATTGTAGCCTGAGATGGATGAACTGTAACACTTAGAAATGCTAACTGAAAATGGGTAATGTGTTAGTCTAACACAGTATTGTGTATCACTAAGTATGGAGAACTCTGCATTACACAAAACTTGTTAGTTTTTATTGTGGTATTGTTAAACTAGTATGCGTATCAGCGCGTTGCGCCAATATTTTAAAATATAATTTTTTAAAAAATCTATTATTAACTTGTTAATAGTTTATTCAAATAAATATCAGAATTCATTAGTTATATTTATTTTATTTCATTAAATTAATGTTATTATTAGTCAATTATATTTTTAAAAGATAATATTATATATAAAAGTGTTGAAGGTGATACTTGTTGGTCAATGTGTATGCTTCTAGGGTATTTATGTATTTTTCTAAATTAAATTATTATTATTATTTTAATTAATTGAAAATCACGTAAAAATAATAAGTTGTCATAAAGAAAAAAATTTAAGACATATAAAAACTCTATTAACTCTATATAAATTGTGATAGATAAATTAACATATATTGTTTGAAAAATAATATGAAGTACTATAAATTACAATAATAAATAATTTGAACTATTTAAAGAACTAAATTGAATATTGAAAGTTTATTTTGCATAACATTAATTAGGACACTCGTAAGAAAGCAACATATTTGATCTAGAAAAAAAGTTAAAAGTATTATAAATTACAATAATTCACAAATTAAATATGTAAAAAATTTACTATGTTATATTTGATTGACTCTCAAAATTCTATGTGTATAAATAAATTGGAAAAAAGAGAAATACATATTTTCTTAAAATTACTTAAAAGGTACTATAAATCACTTTGTCAAATTTCATATATAGAAAACTAATTTTTTTTTATCCGTTGACAGTTGAAGCAGTGATTTAGGAAGATAATCAAATAATATGGGATAACTATATTTATTACTTCCTCTATTCATTTTTAATTGTTATGTTGCGCTTTTCAAAAGTCAATTTGACTAATTTTAAAAATTGAATTAGATTACATTAATTCGATATTTTAAACAAAAAAAAATTAGATAATAAAAAACTATACTAAAAGTATTATAAATTTCATTTTTTTGCATATCAATATGCTAAAAATACATTCATAAAATGTTTGTCAAAGTTATTATCGTTTGACTCTAAATGAAAAAATTATGACAATTAAAAATAGACGGAGGTAATAAAATAGTAAACTAATATGGAAAGAGGTAAATGAAGTAATAAAAAAATACAACTTCCTAGGTATCCGTATATTGATACGCGTCCCTTCATCATTGTCTATAGATGGTAAGACTCATGTACACTCATTTCAATATTTATTTTTTTTCAAAAATTAAACTATGGCCATGGGCCAATTTTATTGAATAAGTTAAAAAATGAAATATAACTTTGGACAAACCATCAAATGAGTCTGGATAAAAAGGAAGCTATTAAAATAATATTAAAAAGAAAAAAAAGAAAACTTTTTCTCTCAAGAAGGAGACCAAACATATGCAGTGATAGAAGCTAAATTTTGAGAAGGGAGGTGCGCTTCTTCTTTCGATTGTCTCCGGCCAGAGCTAGTGTCGATCTTCTCTAAGCTCCTGCGTGCTTTACCATCACTGTGAGTGTTCTTTCTTTTGTTTCTTTAATACTTCTTCGATTCTCCTTTCTACTTTGATACTCTTTATCATAACTATGATAATTTTTTTACCGTTTCAACATTTGAACATGCAGATGATAACATAGCATAATAAAGACTTTCTTCAAGCAGGCTATGATTAATTGATCTGGCATATAAGATTGATGAAATGGTCTGGTAGACTCTTATACTTGTATCTGTTTGTATTCTGGACTCTTCTACTTATCCATTTGTCATCTGAACTCATGAACCCATCCAAACACAACATTTTAAACACACTTTTTGATGTGGTATGGTGCGTGTTGCACAAACTCGTACACGTTGACCAAAAAGAAAAAATTTCAATCCACGTATGAATATTATATTCCACTTAGCCTATCACACATATGAAGTAAGAATAGTCGTCATTGTATTCCAAAGGCAATTCCAAAACCATCACGACTTTTCCCCTTCTCCTCTCCGCGATTTCTCTATGATTTTGCTAAGTTGAAGCACAATTGAAGCTTAGTTGAAGCTCAGTTCCACTGAGATTTTCATTGTAAGTTCTTGTCTTTTGTGTTAATTCTGATTTTTTTTCATTTTCTTCGTGCGTATCTATTTGACTTTAGGGTCATTGTCATTCAATTTTCTAAAATATTTTGGAGATTCTACTTTGGTTTGTGTCTATTGTTAGTGTACTATGCTTTCGTAGTGGATGAATGACTTCGAGTGACTTCAATGGCATATTTCGTGAATTCGACTAGATTCTAGAGTTTATTCGTAATTCTCAGTTTCGACTAAAATTAATAATTTTTTTCTCGTCAATTGTCTTGGGTATTGATAGTGTTAGTGGTCCATTGTTACATATCATAGGTGTATAAGATTCTTGACACCTTGTCTCCTTTAAAAAAATAGGTCTTTTTGTTATTTTAACTTACAGGCTTGGTAAGTTAATGGCTTTAACGATAGTTGTTTTTCTTTTGACTTTACATGCATGATAAGTTAATGGCTTTAACTATAGTGACACTTCAATTTCACTAGATTCTACTGTAAGGTATGCCAATGGAATCACTAGTCTTGAAAAGATTATATAGATGTAGATGAGTTGCATATTATGTTGTTTCATAAAATAACACTGAAATTGAGTGTTGAAAATGTTGAGCATTTGGATGTAGAGTCAACAAGAAGGGTGGTTATTACATGTTAAATACTGATTTTGACGTTTTAAACTTTCTTAATGGTTTGAAGGGTGCTAATTTTGTTTATGTATATGTTGTATATCCCATTAGTATATCTTTAGTTGTTAAGGAGATACTTATATTGCCTAGCACTAATGTTGATGTGTCCTCCTCTCCACAAAAAGATAATGTTGATGTGTCCTCCTCCCCACACAAAATTAGGGCTAATCTGTCATCCTCCCCACAAATAGATAGGGTTGATCTGTCATCCTCCCCACAAATAGATAGGGCTGATGTTGTATATCCCATTAGTATATATTTAGTTGTTGAGGAGATACTTATATTGCCTAGCACTAATGTTGATGTGTCCTCCTCTCCACAAAAAGATAAGGTTGATGTGTCCTCTTCCCGACACAAAAATAGGGCTAATCTGTCATCCTCCCCACAAATAGATAGTGTTGATCTGTCATTCTCTCCACAAATAGATAGGGCTGATGTGTCTTCTTCTCAACCATTTGATGAAAATAAAAATAAGCATTTAAACCAAAATCAGTCCCCTATAGTTGAAGAACAGTCCCCTAGAGTTGAAGAACAAGCCCCTAGAGTTGAAGAACATTCTGATTCTGACTCCCTCTATGATGTTGATGAAAATATTGATGATTTGAGTAATTTGGATGAGGAGTTACTTCAAGCTAGGCAGTCTAACATTCAAGAACAAGTTAAAGATAAGGCTGATAGAGTAAATCCAGATGAGATACCATCTGGTCCTGTATGTATAGATACTGATTTTGAAGACATTTATAAAGAGAAGAGGGGGAGATTTGAAGGCAATTTGGGTGGTGATGACCCTTATTTTGATAGCTCAGATCCTAATAGTGACATTAGTGAAGCTGAAGGGGATCATGTTAAGAATGATGAAGTGGTAGATCCAGTACCTAGGAAGGAAACTACAAAGATCTACTTTGATCCAATTGCTAAAAAGGTTTTATTTCAATTGTATATGTTTTTTTTAAATCATATTGAGTTCAGGGAGGCACTGCAAACTTACTCTATTAAGAAGAGTGTGAATATTAAGTTGAAACCTAATGAGAAGGAAAGTATAAGGGCAAAGTGTAAGAAAAAGTATTGTCCTGGCATATTCTTGGAAGTATTGATGGTAACACTGGAAACTTCACTGTTAAAACATATTTTCCTGTCCACAAGTGTTTTAAAAGAACAAGAAACAAACTGTGTACCCCTATTTGAATTAGTAAACATTAGAAGGAGAGAATTATGAGTGAGCCTACCATCAAACTACATCAGATTCAGTCTTTGATACAAAAGCAGTATGATTTGTATGTTAGTAAGACAAGCTGTAGAAAGGCAAAACTGAGAGTTATGAATGAACATTTGGGAGATTTCAGAGAGGAGTTTGCCAGGTTGTATGATCATGCTGAGGAATTAAAGACCACAAATTCTGGAACTACCGTATCTATTAGGACATCCAAGAACACAATTTCAGAAAAAAAAGGTGTTTATGAGCATCTATATTTGTCTTGGTTCCTTAAAAAATGGATGGAAAGAAGGGTGTAGAAGGATTATTGGTTTAGATGGTTCATTTCTCAAAAGTGTATGTAAAGGTGAACTGTTATCTTGCATTTCTGAAGATGGAAATAATCAGATGTACCCTATATCATGGGCAATAGTTGATAAAGAAACCAAGGATACATGGTCTTGATTTCTCAAGTGCATCAAACATGATCTGGAGCTTACAGAAGGTGAGTGACTAACAGTGATGTATGATATGCAGAAGGTATTACTATATTATTTGTTAAATTAATTCTTTAATTTCTCGAGTAATTGATATTTAACATTGTTGTATGTCAAATGTTCTTTGTTTGACAGGATCTTCATTTTGCACTTGTTGAATTATTGCCAAATGCTGAAATTAGATGTTGTGCTAGGCATGTATATAGCAAAACAACTAATAAATAATAAAATTGGAATGTCAGAAGTACCAGGATATATAGAAAGAACATTTTTAGGAACGGTAAAATTATGGTTACAAAATTTAGCAGAAGAAAGCATAAAAACATTAAGAAATAATAAAAAAATAGACGGAGATAGTGCAACCACACCAATCGACATATTAAATAAATATGAAATGGTAATAAGAAATGAATTCAGTAGTACAACTACAGAAGTAGAAGAACAAAATAAAGAAAAACAGTTACATAGGAATTTAATGCTAAAATTAGCTATATGTAACATGTGCTACATAGACGAATATACATGTGTATTTAGAGAATATTATTATAAAGGAACATATAATGCAGAAGAATCAAAAGAAATAAGAAAATTATATTTTACAA